CACACACACACACACACACACACACACACACACACACACACACACACCATTTAACCTGGAGGGAGGTGCTGAGATGCTCTCAGAAGCCTCTGACTACATTGTTCAAACTGCCTCTGCCAACATGCTGTTAAAAAAAAAAAGTTTCCACCAAGCACGGTAGCACATGCCTTTCACCCCAGCACTTGGGAGGCAGAGGCAGAAGGATCTCTGTAAATTTTTGAGGCCAGCCTGGTCTACAGAGTGAATTCCAGGCCAGCCAGACCTACACAGTGAGACCCTGTCTCGAAAACAAACAAACAGAAAACCGAAAATAAAACAAAAACCCAAAACAACAAAACACAAAAATAAAAGCAACCCCCACCCCCAAAATGTTTCCATTTTCATGAGTGTGTGTGGTGTATACAGAGGAATGGATGGATGGTTTTACATGTGTGTGTGTGCACACATGTGTGGGTATATATGTATGTATGCATATGTGTCTGTGGAGGCCTGAGGTTGAGAGCCAGACTGCTTTGATTGCACTCTTCACGAAGGCAGGATCTCACCATCCAACCTAGAGCTCAAAGGTCTGGATGGTCTTGGTAGCTACTTTACTGTGGAGGCCCCTGCTGCCATCCTCGGGGGCTGTGATTGCAGTGGGGCCACCACTCCCACCTGACACTTCTATGGACTTCTGGGGATCTGACCTCAGGTCCTCATGCTTGCATGGCAAATGCTCTAACCATTGAGCTGTCCCCACAGCCCTCCAGTTCTCACTTACTGACCTGTGACCCTGCCCTTCCAGAAAGGGGCTCCCCTCAGCTCCCAGACAGCTCTGCCCAGCTTCCTACCCTCTTGTGCCAGTCCTGTCTATACTCGGCCTCTGGTTTCACCTGCTCGCATGATTCTCAATGACCCTGGGCACAGAGGATTCCTAGATTTGCGTCTGCAGCCTGGACTGTTCCCCTGCATCTAAACCTTTTGTCTCCTGTTGTCTACCTGACCTCTCCACGTGGACGCATCGCATGCAGCAAGTCCAAAGTGAACCCTTCCTCACTTTCCCCAACACCTGCTCCACCCGGCATCGTGCCCACTTAAGTCAGTCCTGAAGCTAAGGTGGCTTAGGTTGGCACCATAATGGCCTCTTTGATACCACCCTCATCCTTCACAGAGCCCTCTGCCAGTGCTGATGGCTCTCCCTTCAACTGCACCAGGAATGAAGTCTCCTCCCTGTCACTGCCCTGGGCCTGGCCCCATCGCATCTTGTGTAGATGATAAAAACAAAGTCTCTAGCCAGGCCCCCAGCCCTTTCCTCCTGTGTCCTACCCCTTCAGAATTTCAGCAGAATCAGTCCATAACAGTGAAAGTTGGAGAGCGCCATCCCTGCTCAAACTCCCCCAAGGTTTCTCGTTTACTCTGAGGTAAGGCAGAGGAGTCCCATCTAATTTATCCTTGTGGCCTCTGTCCCTCACATTGCCAAGGTCCCTCACATTGCCCCTTGGCTGTGCTCCTGCTGTGTTAACTGTGCTGTCCCCCTCAGGACTTGAGGTGGGCACCGCCTCGGCCCTCCAGTCCCGGAATCTGCGACTCAGTGTTGCCCCTGGAGCCTTGCTCTGCTGCCGGTGAGCTTTGGTCAGATGTCACCTTCTCAGGGTTGAACTGTCCTGCTACAAGCTCAGCTCACTCTGTCCCCTTTTTGTCTCCCAGTGAAAGCTCAACCTTCAATGAGCGGTTTGATTTCCCTTTTCCTCTGTTGTCTCTTTCCAGGACTGGGATGTGGGCAGCGCTCTGTCTGTTTTGTTTGTTGTTGGAAACTCGCCTTGGGTGTAGCGGCTGCTCGTGCGATGCCTGCTGAGTGGATGGACGCGTGAGCCTAGCTCCAGCCTGGCCAGTACCTGGGTGGTGAGCCTTCCCCTGTCACAGGGAGGCAGCTGTCCCGTTTCCTCTCCAGGATGAAACCTCATCTGGACTCGGCACCCTCTCACTTCTTGCCCCCAATACGGCCCACTGTCTTCTCTTTCCCCTGTTCTTGACTTCGCCTACTGGACTGGTCCCATCTGTTCTTAGTATACAGGAGGCCCGGCCTCCAGCCCACTCCAGCCTCTCATTTCCGGCCAGTCTCAGAAGTCCAGCAAGCTTGCTCTGTCCCTTTATCAATCTCCTGCAATCCTGATGAGATCTTTGCCTCTCCACCCTCTTACTACTAGAAAATTCCCTGGGGCCTGCTTGTTGCTGAGTCCAGGGCACAGGATTTTTTTTTTTCCTGAGGCTCCCCTCCAGCCCTGGACTCTCCCCCCAACCCCCTGCATTCTCTACTCCAAGAGACACTTTTTTTCCTATCTCTTCATTGTTCTACCTCGACCTTAAACATCGTTTTCTTCATGCTTCCACCCAAATCTCTCCTCTTTTCACTCCACACCCACTCTCTCTCTGGAAGAGGTGTCTGCTTCCTAGCTGCACTTCCCACCTTCAAAGACAGTTCAAGATGTTTTGAGCTTCTGTGAAATCCCTAAAGTTTCAAAATACTATCCAGTCAAATAAAATGTGAGTACAGGCAGACTCAAGCAGCAGGCCGTTAGTCTAACCCCAGTGTGCGTGCAAACTTACTGTGCGCACACGTGCCTACACTTTTACACTAGCACAACTGGGAAGGGAGGTGTTTAGGGGAATATTGCAGGCTGCTTTGCTAATGATGATGGGTGATGGTGGTGATGGTGACGGTAGTGATGGTTGTGGTGGTGGTGACGGTTGTGATGGTTGTGGTAGCAGTAATGGTAGTTGTGGTTTTGGTGATAGTGGTGATAATAATGGTTGTGGGTTGGTGTTAGCGATGATAGTTACGGTAGTTGTGGTTTGGGTGGTGTTGTGGTGGTGGTTACGGCGATGGTGGTAGGAATGGTGGTGACGGTGGTGATTTCGGTTTTGCTCGTGTTTGTGGTAATGGTTATAATGTGAGCGGTGGCACCTTTTATTCGGCCCCCAGTATATGCCAGGAATAGGTTAGCACTGACTTGTACTAGGTCTGTTACACTCGTATAAACCTTCAGGCAGAGCATTTTGTGAGCGCCATTTTCTTGCTGGGCTAGCAGAAGCATGGAGAGGGTAAGACACCCAGATGGTCACAGGTTGCCAGCCTGTCTGTGAACATGACAGAACCATTTGTTTGGTTGGACAGTCATGCTCTGTCCTTGACTTCTTGTCCTTCTGAGAGTTGGCAGAACACACCCCTACTCCAGTCATGTCATGCAGTGGAGGTCTGTGAACCACGGCTTGAGAGGCCTTGTTAGGTTGAGCTGTCACTCATGCTCCCACTGAAGAAGCTTGTTCCTGATGGCTGCTGCCCTGTCAGCCTGGATCCTCTGCTGAGGGGACAGGAGGGACAGGCCTGGAAGCCCATCCCTAGACATTCACCTTACAGAGTCAGCCAGCAACCCCAGAGTCATGAAGAGGAAGGAGAGGAGGACACACACACTCCACTGAGATTTGAGAGACATGTTTAAGGTCCTGACTACCAAAGAAGCTTCTGGTTTGGAGCTGGAAGAAATTGGTGTCCTGCCTCCCACCACGGAGAAAAGTTAAGGCTGAAACAGGCGTGGATCAGGATACAACCGAGGATACAGAAACCCACCCAAAGAGCTCAGCAAAGAGAGGGCAAGGCAGGCAAGGAGGCTCGGTGGTGCTGGACGAGGTGAAGGGTGAGGCACCGGCCCCCAGAAGCCAAGGCCACTGCCTTGGTTCAGGGCCTGAGTGTCAGGGGTCACTGTCAATGCTAGCGGGGAGGCACTGGCAGGATGGCAGGCTTGAGCAGGCAGCACTTCCACACATTCCCAGGGGTGTCAGGCCTGCTCCCAAGGAAGGTTTGTCCCTGGCAGTGTCAGGTCCTCAGCAGGACATCGGCTCACAGACACCACGGCTACCCCAGGCGCCTCTGAGGGTCAGGCGTCACAGCATGTGTTCTAATGAGAGCAGAATGTCCGGGGATGTTCAGAGGCCAGCGCACGGGTAGGCAGCTCGGGGCCTCCGGGTCTGCCCCCCGCCTGGAAGCCTGGCCTTTCGGCCTTCTCCTGTGTGTCATAGAGCCAGTGTGTCTGCACTCACCAGTGTGTGTGTATATGTGTGTGTTCGAGTGTGCATGTATGTGAGTGTGAGTATATATGTGAGTTGTGTGAGTGTATGGTACATGAGTGTATGTGTGTCTATATGAGTGCATTTTGTGTATGTGAGTACATGTGTATACATGCACACATGGGTGTGTGTGTATATGAGTGCTTGTATGTGTGTTTGAGTGTATGTGTGGAGTGTGTATATGTGTGAGCATGTGTATATGTGTGTGAGTGTGTATGTATCTGTATGTATGTGTCTTTTATGTGTGTGTATATATGTGTGTCTGTGATTCTGTGTGTATGTGTGTGTATGTGTGTATGCCAGTGTGTGTGTATATGTGTGTGTGTGTGTACACACTCTGCTCAATGAAACCAGAACTTAGAGGCCTCAGAAAGACCCTGAGCAAAGAGACACATTCAGCTAAATGGACATGGGAGGGAAATCATGCTGTCCCAGGATGGAAGGCGCCTCTGCGGGGAGAGGAGGGAGCCAGGCTGCGTCTCAGCCTGTGGGCCCCAGTGGTGGCTACTTAGTCCCACCCCCGAGGCCAGGAAAGCACCAGCACCCCAGACCCTTCACTCTGTCTGAGGCAGAGGGCAGGGAAGCGCCAGCCTCGCCTGGATCCCGGGGACAGACACCAGC